ATTATTATTATATTATTATTGTTATTATTATTATTATTGTTATTATTATTATTATTATTATACCTTATAGGATCATATACTACTGATAGGCTGGTATTCAGTGACAGTATTGGATGCTACTGATGGTTCAATACTAGTCCAACACATACTCTCCTCTCCTCCTTTATCCAAACCAGTCATTAGTGACTTCACTGATGATTCATCCAATGACATTATAATACAAACACAGCATGGGTAAGAATTAACAGACTAAAATACCGTATAGCAGGTAATTTTGGAGGGGATTAAATTTGGCGAATTTGGCATTTTGATAGCCATTCGCCAAAATAAAACCCCACCATTTTGAGCCATTATACGCATGCTCAATGGCACCTGGCCACAAATTTGCCAAAATTAAAACCCGCCAATTACCAAAATTTAGCAATTTGCCAAAATTTATCCCCTCAAAATTTACCCCCTATACAGTAATGTGTGTATATGTACTGTAATACTGGTGTCAGTTTAATAGTAAGGATTTTATTTGGTCTGTGACAAGCAATTAGCCAATTGGGCCACAGAAATTTTAGCTGTATGACATAGGCCATAAAGCTTGTATATAGAATGAAGCAAACATGGCATATTGGCTGTCTGACTGATTTTCTAATCATTGCTCATCCATGCAAAAATTGTCATGTGTTCATTACATTTTGTAATACTACATGTATATACAATGCAATACTTGGTTAAGCATGAGAATGAAACTGTTTACAGTAATTGGACACACTTTATTATTATTCATGTACATGTACATTGTTATTCTAAAGCTTCAAGTGAATTGTTTTCCTAGCATTATCATAGTCTTTTCTTTAGTCTGATAGGATTATCACTGGTCCATAGATCAGGATTCCTCCACTCCACTATATTGTCATTGTTCATTGGATTCATTATTGTCCTGGTGGCTGTGTACACTAGACAGAGAACTGGTTTCCTCATGCCTAAAATAAAGGAGGCACAGGATTAATGACTTGTAACTGAGAATTGATCTGTGTGTGTATGTGTGTACATTTTTTTTATAATTATTGATTTGGCATGATTTACTTTTTGCTTTCATTTAATGCTGTGTTTACACTACAGAAGTGGGCCAAACCGTGCTGAACCAGGCTGAGCTGGCCCTACTGTACTAACCATGCTGGCCTGGTTTGGCCCAGCTCACTTCAGCTCAGTTTGGTAACTGTTTACACTATCGAATGAAACTGTGCTGGCCCACTTTAAACAGGATTGGCTCAGTTAAAGAAGCTAGTGTAAACGCAGTATAATTAGCCCATTTTGCTCCAGTCAGCTCTCGTGTACCAATCAATATTCATCCGCAACATTATTACACAGTACACATTATATGTTTCATGGTGTTGGTGGGTATGTTGATCTAGTCCAGTATACATCC